AAGGGGGAAGGGGTCGCGGTCGAGGCCGCGGTCGCGGCGGAGGCCGAGGGAAGCACTCGTAGCTCGTAGAGTTTTTTTTTTTCGAGGGAACCGCGTTCCGTCTCCGTCGTCGTCGTCGTCGTCGTCAATCTGTCTTCTTCCTTCCTTCATTCCTTCCTTCCTCTCGCTCTCTCGCTCACGCGATCGGCACCTGGACCGGCCGCGACCTCTGCGGCGCGTACCGCCGATGCGCGGTGCTCACGCATCTCAGAACGTCCGTCGCGCTGACGCATCCGACGGGGACGTCGCGGTCGCTCAAGATCCACGCCCGGTGCACGCCGTCGTCCAGCATCGCCCTCGCGCAGTCGATCACGTTCGCGTCGTCTCTCACCGCGGTCAGTCGTCGCGGCGCGCCTTTCACCGCGACGTTCAGAAACTCGCGCACGGTCGCGCCGCCGTCCGAGACCGGACGCAGCAGCGAAACGTCCTTGACGTTTGAAAAGTCGCTCGCGGAGAGCACGTCGGCGGCGCGCCACGCTTCCGGGTCGTCCGCGCCGACGATGGTATCCTTTTGACGCTCGACGATCACCGCGGCGCCGTACCCCTCGTGGAGCATCTCTTTGAAGACCTCGCGCGCGGGGGCGTCGTAGAACGTCCCGAACACGGCGCTCGTCGCGACCGCGGCCGCGGGCTCTTCCAGCGCGCGTCGCAAAACGTCGATCTGGCCCTCCGCGGGGTATTCGCGGTCGTATAACACGCCGTACGCGTCGACGACGCATCTCACGACGTCGAGCTGCGATATGATGTCCACGATTTCTTCGTGTTTGAGTAACGGTGACGATGGAAGCGTTTCTTCTTCTTCTTTGCCTTCGTTCCGCGTCGGGCTCGAGTCCACGACGGCGAGTCTGTGCACGTCCGCGGTGAACCAGTACGCGCGTCGAGCGCCGCCGCCGTCGTCGTCCGAGGGTCCGTGCTGCTCGAAGAGCAGGTACCCTTCCTCGCCGACGAGCTCTCTCAGAGGCAGCTGCGCGGCCGCGAACGGGAACGCGCCGCCGTCGCCTCCGCGCCCGCTCTCGAGCCTTCTGTCGACGAGCGCGCTGACTTTCGTCGCACCGAACGCAACCTCTCGCTCCGCGCGCCCCGCGACGTCGAGCGCGAGCCGCAGCGCTCGCGTCGCGTCGAAGAACCCGAGCACCGCGCCGGTCGCGGGGTCTCGCACGGGCACGGACTTGATCTTCGACAGCGCGAGCTCGTCGAGCGCCTCTTGGACGGTGTGGCTGGAATCCACCGCGACGACCGACTGCGGCGGCGCGACGTGCGGAGTTCCCCAGTCCTTCGGCGCGCGAAGCGACGCGTGCTTGGACGAGAGGAGGTCGGAGACGGTCATCGGGTCGAACGCGGACGGGACGCCCTCGGCGGTGAGGCCGTGCAGCATGAACGCGTCCACGCCGCCGGCGTCGGTCTCGGTCATCGCGCGGGGGGGGGAGGGGGGGGGGGAACGCGCGCGGGGTAAAGTGTCGTAGCTTTTGTCGGCGCGTGGAGAAGACTGGACGAGAAAACCAAAAGGAGTTTGGTTTTTCCCGAGGTCGCGTACTACGCGATCGATGTACTCGTTTCCGTATGAACAATCAGTCAGGGCTCATGGAAGGTTTTCAGCCCCCCGTCCGAGAAGTTTCAACGCCCGCCGCGGAGAAGTTTCAATTCGTGCCGATTCGCGGCGCGCGCCGCCGTCACACCACGACGTCGCCGCGGCACGATGGCGACGCTCTCCGAAATGAAACCGATGAAGACGAAGAAGGCGAAGAAGGACAAGAAGCGCGCGCTGTCGCCCTCGGACGCGTCCGAGGAGGAGCTCAAGGCGGCGAAGAAGGCGCGCAAGGCGGCGAAGAAGGCGGCGGCGGCGGCGGCGAACGCGAACGCGCTGTCGACGTCGTCGTCCGACGGCGCGACCGACGTCGCGCGCCCGCCGACGCCGACGAAGAACTACAGCGTGGACAACCTCCCCGCGCTCGCGCGCGCGAAGGTACGCGACGCGTCCGACGAGAAAGAGACCTCGGCGCCGGCGGACGAGCGGCCCGACCCCGCGGAGCTCGCGGCGTTCTTCGCGCACGGCGGCGACGTCGACGCGTCCGTCGCGAGATGGCTCACGAAGCACGAGGTGAAGGTTCACGACAGCGCCTCGCCGACGACCGCGTGCCTCGCGTTCGACGACGCGCCGTTCCCGAAGCCGCTCGTGACGCTCCTCAACAGGCAAGGGTTCGCGGAGCCGAGCGCGGTGCAGGGCGCGGCGTGGCCGATCGCGTCGCGAGGATTGGATCTCCTCGCGATCGCGAAGACGGGATCGGGTAAGACGCTCGCGTTCCTCCTCCCCGCGCTCGCGCTCGCGGCGGAGCACAAGAATTCCTCGCGCGGGTCGCCGCTCGCGCTGTGCATGTCCCCGACGCGCGAGCTCGCGCTGCAGATATGCGCGGAGGCGACCAAGTTTGGCGCCGCGGTCGGATGCCGCGCCGTCGCCGTCTACGGCGGCGCGCCGAAATGGGCGCAAGCGTCGCAGCTCCAGCGCGGGTGCGAGCTCATCATCGCGACCCCGGGGCGGATGTTAGACATGCTCGACATGCACAACAAGGGCGGGAACCCGGTGACGTCGCTGGCGAGCGCGAAGGTGCTGATCTTGGACGAGGCGGACAGGATGCTGGACATGGGGTTCGAGAAGGACATTCGGCAGATCGCCGAGTGCATGCCCGCGGATCGCCGGACGATGCTGTTCACCGCGACGTGGCCGAAGAACGTGCAGAAGATCGCCGCGGATCTTCTGAAGCCGGACAGGGTGAAGATCACCGTCGGGAACGGCGGGGACAAGCTCACCGCGAACAAGGCGGTGACGCAGACGGTCAAGGTGATCGAGGCGAGGGAGAAGTGGACCGAGTTTTTGAAGCTGATGGAGGAGTACAAAAAAGACGGCCCGCGCCACGGCCAGCGCGTGATGATCTTCTGCAACACGAAGAAGGACGTCAACGGCATCGGCGAGCACCTGTGGAACGAAGGCTACGCCGCGGACACCGTCAGCGGGGACCGGACCCAGCGCGAGCGCGAAGCCGTCATCGCCGCGTTTCGACGCGGCTCCACGACGATGGTCGTGTGCACCGACGTCGCCGCGCGCGGCATCGACGTCCAGGGCGTCGAGGCGGTCGTCAACTACGACTTTCCGAGGGACGCGTGCGACGACTACATCCACAGGATCGGACGGACCGGCAGAGCGGGCGCGAAGGGCGTCGCGCACACGCTGTTCACGCGGCAGGACGGGCGGTTCGCGAAGGAGCTGACGCGAATTTTGGAGGACGCGGACCAAACCGTGCCGGACGAGTTGCGCGCGCTCGCGGCGAGCTCGCGCGACGGCGGCGGCGGGGGGTTCCAAAAGAAGCCGTGGAGGGGTGGCGGCGGCAGAGGGGGTGGACGAGGGGGCGGCAGAGGGGGTGGACGAGGGGGCGGCGGCTTCCGCAAGTGGTGATGAGATCGTGTTGTATCGACTAGATGTATTGCGTCGCGGCGACTCAATTCGCCGCCGGCGTCGGCGTCGGCGGCTTCTCCTCGGCATCCCCCCCTTCGTCCTTTCTCCAGAACTGTAACTTCCTCAGCATCCCCCCGATCCCCTTCTTCGCCGCGTCCGGGTCCTCCGGCGGCGGCGGCGGCGGCGGCGTCCACCGCGCGACCGTCTCGCGGTGCATGACGTAAATCAGCTGCCGCAGCGTCGTCGTGAACGCGAACGAGCCGATCACGGCGCAGCACAACAGCGCGATCGTGGACAGAATCTCCGTCGTGTTCCCGACGTCCCACACTCGGTCGAACGCGCTTCCGGAGAAGATCCCGCGCGCGGCGTCGCCGTACGACGCGGTCGCGGCGGCGAAGGGGATCGGGGGGATGCTGAGGAAGTTACAGTTCTGGAGAAAGGACGAAGGGGGGGATGCCGAGGAGAAGCC